TGGTTTTTTTATATATTCACATTGTTTATGATGTTTTTTATTTGACAAGTAATTTTCGAACCAGTTTGTATCTTCTATTCCGTTATCTTTCAGTTTTTTTATTAAAAAGGAGCGATACGGTATCAAAAGCTTTGGACTGATTAATGTAAATATAAAGTGTAAATTATTAAATAAACTTTATCCATTAACAAACTTTTTTTGTGAAACCATATTACTTACTGCACAATATATTGTTTTCGATTGAATGATTATACTGTTTATTGTAGACTATACAATCAAACAATTTAAGAAACAAGATAAAACAGACACAGGCCTGTAAATAAAATGGGAATTCTGACTCATCTCTTGCCTTAAAATTTGGAGTACTTTACCTGATTTAAGAATTTTACCTGATTTAACGATATATAATTGAACCTAATGGTTCAATTATATCAATATATCACTAATTTTATTATACTCACGTTAAATTTAGCCGAACCTGCGCTTTTATAATTTTTTAGACAAAACAATGTAGTCCGCAAATCAATTATGTCTAGATATATAAATATTTAATATATCTAGGTTTGATTCATTCGCTTTTTTTATTAAAATTGCCAGATAAGTTGGAAAAATAATTCGTGATACGTTAGAGCTGACATCAATGAAAAAATTGTTCAATTTTTCAGCTATTAACATTTTATCATATTAACTAATTCACCGCGAATTAAAAGTTTTTTTGCACTACTTTTATTTTACTATTTGTTTTGACTAATTATTTCTTTAATTCCATTCCATGTTTGCTACGCATTTCTATTCTCTAGCAATTTTTTTGATTTTTTTCCAATATATTTTTTATATTTTATTTTATTTTTTATTATATTAAGAAAGCTTCTGTTTTTTCCTCGACAATTATAATAAACTTTTTTTATCCAAAGTATTGATTTTGAGTTTATATCAAATTTATAAATTTTTTTTTTACAGAAAACGCTTTCTTGTATCGCTTGCATAATTGCATTAAAATATGTTTTTTTGATTCATGACCATTGTTAGCATTACGTGATTGAAGAACAAGCTCCCAATCAACGCAGTTGATTTAGAAGGTTTCAAAATACTTGTGTGGAGTTTTCATTTATCTATCACTTGAATATAATACTTTTTGAGAGAATATTGTTAAGTGTTATGCTACTTGTAATAAAAAATGTGGGAAAAAATGATTCGGAATCTTTATCATGCATGTACTAAAATTTTTGTTGGTTATTGATGAAATGAGATTATTTTGGAAAAAAGTATTTAGAAAATATTTAACACTATTTTATTTGACGTATGATTCAAAAGATTTAGGTCACCGACAAAGTAAACATGCTTTTATGTTTTATTAATTTTCTTTAAAAAGGTGCGTAAGCAAGGTTTAAAATTTTTTACCCACTGTTTCTAAATAGATATCATTAACAAATATGTTTTTAGAACTTTGGTTAATAATTTAAATGCACAAACGACTAAAAATCTTTTTCGTTAATACTGAAGTTGATATGTGGTATAAAATTAATGGAATTATGGTTAAAAATACAAACACCTCCACCAGTACGATAATTTCGTGGTTAGTGAATTAAGGCGTAATCTTTTAATTCAAATAATAAACTACGTTCGTCATATTTAGAGCAGGTCTCTGTAAAACAGATTATTTTGAAATTGTGATTTAATTCATGCATTAGAAGCTTAAAAACTTTAAAAGTTTTTGTTTATACCTTAAATATTATAATTTAAAAATTAAAATTTGTTTTATTTTGTCGAAGATTATGTTTTAAATCAGAAATTGAATAGTATTTGCTATTTAATGAAATTAGATTAAAATAAATACTTACTGTGTCATTACCACAATGGATGACATTTTTATTACAATAATTACTAAAATTTCCTCTTTTTTAAAATATAAAGTTCAAATTATGAAAAATTAGATATAATAAAAATATTTTGATACTTATATAGTGTTAGTAAGACGGCGAAGTTGCCTAACTATTACTTTCTTTGTAATTAGTTGTTAATTTGAAAATGAAACTTGGAGTTGAAACTTGTAAAAAAAAAAAATTTAAGTCTCAAGTGAGCATATTAATCTTTAAAAAATAAGTTTGGCGTTTAAATTTATAAGTTTTTTTTTTTCTGGCGTTTTTTGGCGGGAAAAAGAAACTAACCTGAGTTACCTTAAAAAGTGTTTTATTTTAAGTAGAATTGTTTGTCAATGGGAGTCTTAGAAACCATTGAAACCAGTTAGAGTCTTAGAAATTTCTGGTCAAATACTGAGAATTAAAGTATTGGTTAATGAAATTTTGAGAAAGTGTTGGCTAGTGAGATCCTGAGGAATTTTCAGCCAATGCAGTCTATGAATGTATTTTCAGTCCAATTTCTAATTCTGTAAACTAGCTTTGAGAACACATGATTATATTCTTTGAGAACCGTGATTATATGATATAGAATATGTAACATATAACACCATACTAAAGATACCATCAAACATAATATAAACTGAATTGCTTGTTTGAATTTTGATACTTTAGAAACGATACATTTCCAGTAAGATCAAATAACGTGAACCAGATTGATATCGAAAGTCTTAGTCACATTTATACAATTATTCACACATTATTATATATTTGTCATTCAAAAATTTTAACCTCAAAATAAATCCAAAGGAAAATAAATTTTTGAATTTTTATTTACTACTTACAAAACAGTGAAAGAAAAACAATGATTGAATAATTAAAAGTAACATATCAATAACACTTAATAACAAACAACATTCTGAAACACTTCTGAATCGAAACGAATTATTGAAACAATTTAATATATTCAGAATATTTTGTATCAAACGTGTATAAACAAATTGTTTCGCAGATCAATAGATCAATAAAAATAACTTTTTTGATGCATCTATGAGTCCCTATCGCGATAGGGACTCATAGATGCATCAAAAAAATTATTTTTATTGATCTATTGATATCTATCGCGATAGGGACTCATAGATGCATCAAAAAAATTATTTTTATTGATCTATTGATATCTATCGCGATAGGGACTTATAGATGCATCAAAAAAATTATTTTTATTGATCTATTGATCTGCGAAACATTGATCTATTGATCTGCGAAACATGTCGATATCGGCATAAACTCCTATTTAACAAAAGGGTTCAGGAGACCATTTATTCCATTTTTTTCGTTAGTTTTTTTTTTAAATAAATAATTTATTACAAGTGGGGTCATTTTGAAAATTTTGTATGGGTACCTGCAACTATAAGTTACGCCACTGTTTAACATACGTTCAGTAATTGTGAATTAGCGCAACAAATATCGAATCACTTCCCAGTTCAAGTTTTTTTTTATGTTAAATAAATTAATTTATTTCTATAAATGATATTTAATATTTCAAAACTTTTGTAATAAAAACAACATAAAAAAAATGCATCTATTCAATTTCAAACTTTTAGATTTTGGATTTTGGTTACTGTTTTTACAGAGCAAAAATAATTTTAAAATTTAAATTCTTCTTTAAAAAAAATCGGGTTGTTTGACGGTCCCCTCACTTTTTTATGTCAATCTTAACAAAATAATAAATGGTAGTAATCTTTTGAAAATTTAGAAATATCGTGTTAGCAAATAAACCAAAAGAAATTTGACCAAATGCAACACAATTAAAATTAACATACCTGAACCCGTCATACCGTTATGTTTCTTTTTTTTCTTTTTTTTTAATATTTATGGTAATAAAGAAACTAAACTTAGAAGTTGATAAATAAAAAACAAATAATTTCATTGAGTTTTATTATGAAAAAAACTAACATATATTAACAGATATTTTTAATTTAAACTTTAAATTAAAAGTTTAACTCACGAACTTGTGTCCTTATTAAAATGACGGGTTCAATTAACTCATTGATATTTTAATTAACAACATATTTAAGTAACGGTCAAAAAAACAAGTTAAAATTGAGTCATGCTTTTCGTTAGCACTGCTTACAGAAAAAACTGACTCTATTTGGTTTATTGGTTTCCGGTAAATTGATCCGAGGAAGATTTATTTTGATCTAAGGAAGATCCAAGGAAGACAAGTTTTTTAACAAACTGAAAACTAATTTGTTATATCCCATAATGCCAAAATCTGACTAATAACTCCGCACAGCTTCACTTTTTTGAAATGTTTTGAAATTTTTGTTTTTATTTTTTAAGCAAAAAGGTTGAGCTTAATTCCTTTGTTCATATTAACAAATAGTTCAATAAAACGCGGAACTTCATTATTTCCATTAACGTTTTCATCAATCAAAATATAATTAATCAAATTTCACATTAATTTTTTACCTATATTTAATATTTTTATTTTTATTTTTTACCTAAATTTTTATTTCAACATGTTTAATCAGGTATTAAAAGAAAGAATATTTTCAAAAATACGAAAACATATTTTTATAAATAAGTTGCGTTGTATCGTTTTATCGTTTTATTAAATTGTTTTATCATCTTTTTGTTTTATCGTTTCTTTGTTTCAAAATAATAACTTAGAATTCATAAAAGCAATATTGAATAAATTGAATTTAATACTTGTCTCTAAATATATCATTTCATCATATTCAAAACATCAGATAAATTACGTATTCGACGATGCAATGAAGAGATACTTCATCACTTCATTTCATCTCTTTAAATGTGATTGATGACTTTAAGAGTTTGTGATCAAAGTGGTTTTCATTGTTTTTTAAACTAAAATTCTTGTGTGTTGCCATAATGTTTTTAATTTAAATATATCCCACTATGCCTTTAACTTATCTCGTAGTCGGAAGAACTCCCTCAATTCGATTACAAACACATCCTGTCACTTTAGTAGGTTATTTATGTAGGCTGAAATAACTCTTAAATAATTTCTATTGGTTTAAACAGTTCAAACATTTTCCTGACAAATTAAAAGTTTTTTTATAAAAAAAAAAAAAAAAGGATGCAAAAAATATTCGGATAAAAAAAATTTTAAGAAAGAAGATGTTTTTAGAAAGAAAAATGAAAATCTGTGTGGAAATCATTCTGTTTACTTTGTTTTTTCTAAGAGTTGTTCCATTAAATTTAGAGGAAAGCCAAAGAAGTGTTACTAAAGATAATCATAGAGCGTCTTCTGTAAATCAAGGTAGATCATCTGTAAAAAAAATTGATCCTGGCTACATGAAAGATGAATGTGGTGTTTTTCCATTTAATCAAACAGTTACAAAAAACGGCTGTGAAGGAAAATATGTTGCAAACAACTTCTGTTTTGGTCAATGTGGATCTTTTATTATTCCATACTATAATATTACAAACAAAAAAATATCTCGCTTAACTCTAGAAAATTGTAAGCAATGTGTACCGGAAGATTTTGAACTCACCAAAATACCTATATATTGCCCAGAACGAAAGAAAAAGCACCAGTTCGCTAAAGTTTTGCTAATTAAAAAATGTGTTTGTAAAAAAAACTCTTGCCTAATGACGTAAAAATGATTTAACAACAAAAAAAAGAATTTGACGATGGAAGATTCTTCAATGGGTAAACCATTCTTCTTTATAATTAAAAAAAAGTTATTACAAAAAACTTTATGTTCTTTTTAAGTTACTCTTATATTTATATTGTATTTGTACATTTCAGACTATTATATATTATTACTAAATATTTATAATATATTACTTTTATTTCAGCTACCATTGTTGTTATTATTACTTTTATTAGTTTTAGTTAATTAAAATGTAAAAGTTAAAAAGAGATAAAGATTTAAAAAAAATTTTATAATTTTAATTATTTTTGATATAAAAAAATTTTATATCAAAAATAATTTTTCTTTTGCGTACTTTGCTTATGATATTGTAAAAATTTGTTATAAAAAATTTAGTGTTTTTAAACATGAAAATTACTATATTTTATATGTTGGGTATAAATTCTGTAACCCGGAAAGCACTCGAGTTTTTTAAAAATATTAATAAAAAAAGTTTGCCAGAAATAAATAAGGTCCAATAAATATGGCAATAACTAATTTATATAAACCTTGATTACCTGACGAAAAAATTAAATGTTGGGGCCTCATGTGTTGTTAAATGATAGCCACAGTCGATTTATAGGATTGCGTAAATGTTCGCTATGTGTGACTATGATATTTATAACACTTAGGTGGTAACCATGGTAGCCCTCAATTGACTATAATACTTATACCACTTAAGTATTATGGTGCACATCTACGCATCTACGTCATCCAATAAATTGATTGTACTTATCACAGGTGACGCGTATCAAATTTTTCTTGGGTAGAATTTTAGATGGTTTTGCAGTCAAAATTTTACAAAATATTTAGAAAAATATTTATATATATATATTTTGACTTTATTTATTTTTCTTTTTATTTATTTATCTTCGGAGATTAAACAGTTTTCAATTACTTTTCACAAAATTTTTCAAAGAAATTTTTCAACAACCTTGGTGACATTTTAGCTACCTATTACACATTCTCAAATTATTTTTTTATGCATTCTTCCTTAATGTAAAGCAACCATGGCCGTAGTGTTACGATAATTGCTTTAGAATCAAAAGGTCCAATGTTTTATGTCTGCTCTTACCATATTTATAACGTCTGTAGGAAAACCGGCGTTAAATTTTTAGTTAAATGGTCTGTTGCGTTGCTCTGTAACAAGATTGTTAGGCTTTCTAGATGCGCGTTTAAAATAAAAATAAATAATTTTTTTTATAATTTAACGCAATTGAACTCTTATATTTTATTAGTTCAAAAAAATTAAACTGAAATTGAGCTCCATTTTACAACAATCTCTTGAAGGCACCATTAGCTTTTTGATTATTTTTTATAAATTGTTTTTAAATAAAACATTCCCGGTATGGGAAGTATGTTTTACTTAACTTTGAGAAAATGCTCAAAACATTGCAAGTTAAGGAACATAAAAACAAGCCCTAAAACCCATATGTTAAAAATTAAATTCCACTGTCATTTGACCGTGAGGTTTTCCAACTTATTTATTAGTAAGTGTTTACTGTCCATTAAGTTAGCAAAGGTAATAAGTGTTTACTGTCCATTAAGATAGCAAAGGCAATAAGTGTTTACATTAAGTTAGCAAAGGTAATAAGTGTTTACATTAAGTAAGCAAAGGTAATAAGTGTTTACATTATTTTTTGCTAATTTTGCTGTTACCTCAACGTACGAATCTTTAATTGTTTTTTACTTATTGGTGGTAGCATATATAAAATAGAACAAAATCATTTTAATGCAGCAAAGCCACAATCTCGCAAAAAGCTGACACTTTAACATTTCTTAGGGAATCGTTAACCTTCAGCAAATAGAATTGATTAATGTTGTTTTAATTTTCTTTTAGAATATTCATAAAAGTATTAATAGAAAATTTGTTTGTTTTTTTCTGAATTAATCAGACAAAGTTTATTTTCCAATGTAAAAACTTTTGATCAGATAAGATCTAGGGTCTACTGTAATCATACTCTCAGTATAAAACAAATTAAAAATTGACATTAACGTTTATAAGTTTATCAATATTAATTATGTTTGTAATTGCTTTACCATATGTGGAATTATTATCAATAAAAAATTATGAAAAACCATAACAGATGTCAAAACTATTTAAATTTAGGTTCACAGCATAAATTTATATATATATAGGTCACCCAACTATAATTGGTCAAATAAATTTTTGTATCAACTTTGATCTTCTACCCAGTACTAGGATGCATCTTCATGAACCAGTTCAAGGAAAAAAATTATACATACAGGAGGGGCGCTAGGCGCTCCATTGAAACTTTAACCTACGGGCTCTAAGTTCTTAAATTCACCTCTGCATATTACAATAGTATTATCAAAATAAAAACATAATAAATCTGACTTTTTTAAAAACAAAAACTTTTTTTACAAATAATTAATAAAAAAAACAGTGTTTATAAACGGCTTCGTAAAAACGTAATAAAAACTTGAAATAAAATTGACCAATAGTTCAGGAGAAAATAAGTTTTAACAATCGTTTTAACTGTCATTTCTCGGATACTCAACCGTTGGTTACCCCTTGTGTGGCATTAGCAAACGACAGGTAACCTTCATTTTATGATTTTACGCGAGCAGTAACCCATTTGGAAATGGTTTTAAACTTAAATTCATTTCATTCAATTTTAAAGTTAAAAATCAAAGATTTTAACATAATAATTTAAAAATATCAACATGGTACTTTAAAGAAGATCTTGAAGATTTTGTTGTTAAAAACTTTAACAGTTACAATTTCTCTATCACCATCAGGTTTTTATGAAAACATTCAATATAACATTCGAAAGGATTTTCTGATTCAGATCCCACTTGTTATATAAATTTTAAATAAATCTCGATCATTTCTCAATTCTAGTACACAAAAAAAACTTTATTTTAGTCCATATGCTAATATAGTATGGGCTAATACACATAAAACAAAGTTAATTAAATTACAAAGTTTGCAAAACTATGCGTGTACAGCAACTCATTATCTAAGTAGAATAAATAATCCATCATTAGAATGAATAATTCATCAGTAGAATAAATAATCCATCAGTAGAATAAATAATCCATCATTAGAATGAATAATCCATTAGTAGAATGAATAATCCATCAGTAGAATGAATAATCCATCATTAGAATGAATAATCCATCAGAAGAATGAATAATCCATCAGTAGAATGAATAATCCATTAGTAGAACAAATAATCCATCATTAGAATGAACAATCCATTAGTAGAATGAATAACCCATTAGTATAATGAATAATCCATAAGTAGAATTGATAACCCACCAGTAGAATGAATAATTCATCAGTAGAATGAATAAATGTGACAAAAAGTATGAGACTTTTAAACTTGGAAAAAACTTGTATCAGATTCTAGTTTTTATGTTCAAGTAAAAAAATGCTACAGAATTATTTTTTAGATATATTTTTGACAACATTTCTGCAAAATTACAACTTCAATAACTAGCGTTTAAATAGTTTCCATAGCTACAATCCTAATAAAACTAAAAACCGGTATTCAGAGTTTTCAATTATGTTACAAGGTCCCCAGTCGTAAAAAAACCTAAAAAATCAATCTTTAAAGATTGATTTTTAAATAAAGGTTGAACCTTCACAAAATGAAAATTTTTTTGAATTCTTTATTGTGGCCTTTTAATTCAGCAGGCGTTCTTTAAGTTGAATCAAAAAACCGAAAAATATTTTACATTTATTTAAAAGAACATATTTATTATAAGCTTTTTCAACTTAAAACCTCATGAAACAAAAAAAAAAAATTATTACAGAGATTTTTCTTTGTACACGGACTTTAGACAATAATTTTGAGCTGGAGTTATTTAAAAATTCTAATACACATTTTTTCTTGTACATTATCTTTCAAACTAAATCTTTTAGTATTTTATCTCCTATTGTACTAACAAATTATGTTTGGTTTTATTATCTTCTAATTAACTTTATTATACTAATTGACTATTATCATTTACAACGCATTCTAATATTATGATATATTTCTACTAAATTTTACTACAAAGTGTAACTTAGTATATGTAATATATATAATATTTGTTTTATTGATATTTAAATTTGTAATTAATTTTATTTGATTTCCTTGTCTTTTAGAGTTGTTTGTTGTTTTCACATTTTAATTTTGTTATGGCTAACGTGGCTTTCTATTTCTGTTTTTTGTCATGCACTTAATTTTTTTTTACGTTTAACTCTTGACTTTATAAGTATATTGAAATTCCTTCTCTATGTATATGCAGTCATTTGTTTTTTCAAATGAATAATGATTTGTTATTATTTTACAATTATCTTATTATTGTAATAACTGTTAACTTATTCCTATTTTTATCATTAATATTGTTTGCTGATATTTACTTAAGATTAGTTTTGAACTATTTGCAAACTATCACGTGATTGTAAGATCTTTTCTCAATTGATTGATTGAAAATCAATTCTCTTTCAATATATAAAGCACAAGAGCTCTTAATAAAATGAAACACGTTTCAGATTTTGAAACAAGAACTTTAAAACTTTTGAATTACAACAATATGTAATTCTCTTAACTAAAAGTGTATATAAAGTTTATGTTATAATAAATATTTTATTAAAAAATACCAACAACAATAACAAATCATATTAAATTTTTTGATAAATTTTAGTTGAGATTTTACATATTTATGCAAGTGAAATATTTTCATCTCTAATATTTACTAAATAAATTTGTAACATAAGTTTTATTTTCTCCAAATAAAAATGACTTACATGAATGTTTTATATTGACCTGTTTTTTCCCAATAATATATAAAAAATTGAGTGAAATTTTAACAGTGCCGGTTGGTAGGGGCGTGTAAGGTTGCCCTATCAACCGGCATCCGGTGGAGCCCCTTATTGCTTCGAACTGACCCTGAGGTTTAAAGTGTATTGAAGTTTTAAATATTAAAAAATTTTATAACTTTGTTTCTCTT